TGATTTAATATATTGTAGAACGACGACAGTAAGCTATCAATGCTTCCCTCTGAGCACAAAATGAAAAAGATATGATTTTAGTATGGAAACATTGATTTTATGGAAATCATAAAGTTGATATGAAAAATTTGAATTTTGAACGTTATAGAAGTTCAACGAACCAACATACTTGTAATGAAAGGAAACACCCAATGCTGGATGATATGGATCCTCAGGTAAACTGAACGGAAGACAACGATTAACGCAAACCTCAGGAAAATTTGCAAAGCAGAGATCAAGAAATCTCCCATTACAATTAGGGGTACCATTGTATTGAACTAAATTACTATCAAATAATTCATTGAAGAACACAACGGCTTTATCAGATGTTGAGGAAGGGATCAAACAGCCAGAACTATCACTGTAAAACCAATTGACTTGAGGCAAATTGAAGTCACCCAACGCAAGGACTATACCGGTAGGTTTAGATTGCTTGGCCACTTCACAAATGAGGGCGGCCTGTTTCTTATATATTGAGATGTCCGAATTTGGGGGAATATAGGAGCAGGTCACATATAAGTGTTTCTTAGGAAATTTCACTCGAATGGCGATAAATTCAACATCGGGAGTAGTTGGAAATTCCAACGAATAGATGGGGACTTCCGTAGAAATAGCAATTAAAACACCACCACCATTGCGATACAAACGATCGTTTCTGAAAACTTGAAACGAATTATGGAAAAGTTCCGACGAATGTAGATCCGGCTTCAACCATGTTTCAGTGAAGACCAGACAGGAAAACTCCGTGCTCACTGAATTTAGGAAGGTAGAACGAATTTTTGAATTTAGGCCCCTAACATTTTGATAAATGAGAGAAAATGAGGCTGAAAAAATATTTAGTTTTTTGAAGGGGAAAAAGCTACTGCATTCGCATTACGGGGTCGGTCCCGAGGGATAAATTCCTTAATTAAGGATCCAACCGGCCACTAAGGTTTATTTAAAATCAAATCCATATTTTCGGTCGGAACTAGAATTTTAATAGATGAGATAGCTCTAGATTGAGAAGGACAAATGATTATCGCCCAATTTCTCTTTTATCTTGCCTCTCTAAGGTTTTAGAGAAGATTATGGCATTTAGATTATCTTGGTTTCTTGAATCCAAGAACCTGATAACAAAGCAACAAGTTGGTTTCAAGCGGGGTAGAGGATGCATTTACCACACTTGAGATTCGAACCCATCACCATTGAGTTGCTAGTTAAGATTCCGTAAACGCGGAAACGAAGTGGTTATTTTACCAGAATATTTCGAGCGATAAGTAAGTGAACTTTTGTTTGTGTGAACGCTACACAATTGAGTCAGTCGGGTGAATAAGTTAGAGGAGTGCTGGCACGAAACTTGTAATATAATATAACATTATCTTAAAAATAGAAATAATTTTTAAACTCACAAAATTTTGCATAAAATTTACATAAAATGTAAATAAATACTGAAAGTAAAGCTTTTTATATATTGAATGTTCTTTTAATTTTTTCATATATGAGCATAAAAAAACCAAAAATTTGGCATACAGGAAGGGAAAATTTAATATGATTAATAATATAACGTCCGTATATGTAGATGTAGGAGTTGGAGTAGGGTAGTCATTCGATATCGAGTCGTAAGTGAGTCGAGAACAAGGAAGTGATGTTTTTTCTTGGCAATTAAAATGATCAGAAGAAGGAAAGAATAGTCACAACTATACAAGTAAAAGATGAACAATTGTTAAGAAATGATTACTTTAAGAAAAGCAATACAAAGATTTGTTTAAAAATATTGATTCTAAAAATGAATAAAAATAAAGTAGAATTTGGTTTAAGAAACTTATCCAAAATGAATAAAGTAAAACTTGTTCAAATATAAGAAAAATTTATTAAATAAATGTCTATTCAGAAATGAATAAAATTGAGGTAAAACTGGTTAAACGATATACATGGTGTCGTAAGGATGATGTGTGTATGGAGGTATATGAGTAAGTGTAACCTTGGACAACGACTTAACGCACTACCAGACACATAAGCACAGGAAACAGTACAGAGCAATAGGACCGTTAATTAGCAATATAGCGACAGTGACTTTGATAGGAAGTATTCCATATATATATTGTTATGAAATTCGTTTTTGTAAGATACAGTCCGTATCACTGGATCGTGGATATTTTGTTCAAGAGAAATACACTTCAAAGTTCTTTTATTTTACTCCTTTGTCTTTTACAAATAGTAGGAGTATTTATTTACAAATATATTTCTTACATGTAGGGTTATTCACAATTTATTTTGGCCGTACTCTCAGCTCAAATGTTCTCGCCCGACCAACTCTTCCTTCCACAAATATTCTATTTATATACATTTTTACAAGCATGTTACTATACCTAAATTTATGGTTTTATTTCTGATCCCAGCCTGCTTTTCCTCTAATCGTTCTCATCGACCTGCACCTGCATGGCGCGCCTGCGAATGTGCACTTAGTTTTTCCTTCTTTAGGGAATTTATTATTAGGGAAAATGACTTAGCTGACATTAACTGGATTTGGGATTTTCGTAACATTTTTTTTTTTTTTTTTTTAACGCAACTGGACTAGCACTGTAAAGGAAATTAAATATGAATTATAACTAACAATATATTATGACAGTATAGTTAACATTGATTTTATATGGGAAATCTGTAAAAAAAATATAATAATTAGCTTTTCCTGCAATGCAAAACCTGAATATTTAGCTTTATTACATTTTTTACTTATGAAATTCTACATAATTTTCTATTTATTTCATTTTGGATGCTTGGTATTGGTCACCATAAGTAGTGTGTTTATACACTACTTACGGCCATCTGACTCTCATTTTTTAAGTTTCTCTCACCTATTAATGCGTTGTAATGGAAAATTTTAGCGAAAATATTAGAAGACTGGCTACGATGGTACTTGACTATCCTCTTGGTGAAAATCAATTATCCCCTAAAAAACAGGCGATCGCCTGCTTACATGATTACCGCCCAGAACAATTAATACTAATGCAAAGCCTGAATAATTTTGCTTAAGTATCTTTTGAAATTTTTGCGAGAACATTTCTCGCATACCGTCTGCAAACATTTTGCTAAAAATGTCAAAACTCGAAAGTTGATGCTATACATAACCGGTGTCCTTATTAAAAACATTCGAGTTTAATTTTCACAAATTACGAAAAATGGAGAAACAATAAATAGCACGAAGCAAGTAAAAAAAAACATGTGCTGTTCGAACACAAAGGCACATTAGCAACCCGAATAGATCCACGTTCGGAGTGCAATAGGCAAATATGCAAGAGCTTGGCTACCGATTATTATTGGTACATATCGGAACATATTTAACTCAATTTGTAAATCATACCAGGCCTTAAAATTTATATTGGTTTTATTATGACATAAACAAAAGTTTATTGAAAAGTACTACACATTAAATTAATGATAGCCCCTATATTTTTCAAACGAGCCTAACCGGATTGAAAAGTTCGTAGTTATATTAATATCGTTTGAGTTGTATGAAAATAAAGTTTCTAGAAGAAAGATTGTAAAGAGTATAGAGGCACGAAATTTTTGAGTAAAATACAAATTTAATTAACTCATCAACGCATAAAATAAAAATAATAATAATAATAATAATAGTGATAATTTATTATTATTATTAATTTCGTTAGAAAAATAAACTCTACGACTAAACTCTTAAAGCACTAGGATCTAAGGCTATCGGTTTATTGTGATAATTTAACAATATAATATTTGTAATTAATCAACACACTTTAATGTCATAATGAAATTGTTTAATAAAAATGTCAGTCATCATTTAATAATATTGCGTTTAAAATATTAACCATATGATATCGGCACACCAAATGCAAATAGCAACGTTGACATTTTTGCAATTATTTTCATTGCCGCATTAACGCGATGCAAGCTGTATACTTTGAATAAATGACGCACAACCTAAATAAATCCATTCTGTTGTTGTTCATTCCGAGCTTTATACTTTGACACAACGAAAAAAATATATATATTACCACAATGCCAACAAATAAAAGTAATGTGATAGGATTAAGTATGATGTGAACAAAGCTCTCTCTAATGACTGGGTGCTTTTTTGAATGTCATAAATAAATGTTGAACTAAAAACACCATGTCAACTGAATGGTGTCTTGTAAAAATTGTTCACATTCCAATGGCGGGGAAGAATCCCGGTAGGTTGGTTAATTGCAGAGCCATCTCCCTCATCTCCAGATTCCAGATTTTAAATTTCTTTTCATTTTGAGTCTTAGTTATGGGTGCTAGCACGGTTGAGGTTCACGGGCGACTACCCCAAGATAGCTGCTTCAGTCCTGTTCAGTTCAATCTATATACGGCCAAGCTCCATCCGCTTCAGGATGGCAGAAAACATATTTACCAACATTCTGATGATTTCCTTTTGATTTCAGCTGATAAATCTTTTAAGAAACAATTGAAAACCTTGCTACTGATGCTAATCCCTTTTTTTTAAGCTTAACGTTGGCTTTAACCCAAATAAAAGCAATGTATTTTGCAAAATGTTTCAGGCAAACTCTGAAGTTTTTAATTACTGTCAGTCTGGGTCTAACATCCTCAGTCTGATAACTTGTTTTCGTATGCAGCTTTCCCCAAGGCAAACACTCACAATGTACAAATCTTTTATCCGTTAAAAAATACAATTTTTCCTCCCCACCACTTGCAAACTTTCTAACTATGATACCAACAGAATACAGACATTCTGCTCTAGGACTATCCCCCTTTTCGTCGGTTCTCATCCTTAGAGTCATAACTGATAATCTGCCGATCTTTAAGGGTTATTTGCTTTTGATAGCTAGAAAATTCTTAAAGTGAAAATCATCAGGCCGTCTTTTTTTCAGTTATACGAAAGAGTTAAAGGGGCTTTAGATATGTAGTTAGTTGATAATTTCCTGACTGAATTTACTTTACTCAAGGCAATAATTTAAACAATCCCGTTTATGCATGCATAAGTGTATAAAGAAACGAGTTTTTATTTGGCGTTCGTAAAGTTACCATTGTTTTGACATTTTAATGCGCTGGCGGACACAATCTTAGCTACTTTGCGGGGCTCTTTAACCAATGTATTGGGACACTGCATTTCTGTCCAGCTTATGGGTACCATAGGAGCCACCTCAGTTCCACCTTCGCTTGCCACCGCGACAACTACACCCAACTCATTTTCAGCGGTACTCAATTCATAGCAGGATAACTCAATTCGTGGTAACTTATAAACACTTCAAATCATCAAGTGGACACGTTTATATATTTAAATAATGTACATACCACCTTGGCTAATATTATATCACCTGGTCGATAACATTTATACATTTCCACACGATCTTTTTCAGTAGCTCGTACATCTTCTTTACGCAGCATGGCACGATAGCTTTGCTCTAATACATGCGCCCCTATGCTTTGTATAGAACATTTGGCAAAACGCTGATTTACTTGCAAAATACGCGCAGTCACGACGTCACCGGCCAACGGCACAATAGTGCGATTACCAGCACCTTCCACTTCAATAATTTTGCACTAAGTAAAGATAATTCAATCAATAAAAAAATAGCGACTTTTAGTCAAAAACTTACGCTATCCTTTTCCTTTAAAATAACACTCCCTGCCAACGTAGCATAAATGTAACCTTTACGTTCATACGTACCGTGACCAGCAGCTGTCTTTTCGTCTGACAAACATAGACGTTGTCCTGGTAAACATATCAAATTTGAATATTTCATGTTTTTACTGCTAAGGGTCATTTTTAAAGAAATATACTTCTTTTTCTTTATTGCAATTTCTATACCATTTATTCAATGTTATCAATCAATCAAAATACTTATACTGAAAAGTAAAGCTCTTCTTCTTCTCTTGGTTTAAAACAATAATCTCTCTTAGTAAATAGGACTCTGCCTTCTTTTGTAGTCATGTTTTCTTATTTTATTTGTTTGTATACATACCAAACCATATTATCTGTCAATTTTCAAATAGGCTCATAAACAGCTAAACAATTTTTCGAAATGCGCCGCTTCACTTTGTTCGGTTATGTAGCTTTTCACATGTTCAACTTTCTTTCCGAAACTCAAGACAAAACGGAGTTTCATTGTGACGGCCCTTACCAGTGCGTCATTCCTGTTTTGGGGTTAAAAAGCGCCCAAGATAAAAACTGGTTACCCGTGCTATTCTACTATTTACAGGAAAATGTAAACGAAACACATAAATTTAGAACCAAATATAAAGAAATCAATATAAATGTAACAAACAAAAATCTGAAAAACAATAATGCAAAAAACTAATATGAACGCCAATTAACTTTTTAATGGTTTAAGGAAATAAAGAATGAAGATATATGGCTGTAAAAGGATTTCAGTCATGCGAAAACTTTTTTTTTTTTGGTATGTTGAATGGAGATGGACTAAGCCAATAGATTTGTGGCTCATGCGAAAACATAAGCAAAAGATTTAAGTTTATATTTGAGTTTGACATATATATAAAATTGGAAATAAATTATCTTTGCTGCTCTTATTGTCGTTCCTTATACTTTAGTATAGAGTATAACCTAAAATTTTAAATCGTATAAGATGGAAAATTTGTAAATTAGTACAAAATAATCATAAATTGGATAAATTATATCAAAATTTAAAATTAAATTTTTCGGAAAGAGTAATAACGCAAAATTGTGTTGAAGAGCTTTCACATACAACTTATTTTTGCTCATTTGATAGTAAGGCAGGCGAGGTCTTTAATTCCGTTCACTAATTGCGGCGTTAGAGGGCCAACATAATTAGGCATCACTTTCGTGTTCAGGGTAAAACTTCCCAAGCTGTAAGCAAAATGGGCAGCTGCGCTATTGTTTCACAGGAAAATGTAAACAAAAACATATGGTTTTAGAAACAATAATAAAGACTTTTTTTTTTTGGTATGTTGAACAGAGATGGACTCAGCCAATAGATTTGTGGCTTATATGTCTAATATTAGTCCATCTCTGTTTAACATACCAAAAAAAAAATAAATATATATATGTCTAATAAAGACTTTCACGTAAACATAAATCAAAAATCTAGGATCCTTAGTGGTGAATTTTGGTCACTAACCTAAAGTTGTGCAATTCGAGATATTACGTTGTAAACCTTTATATTCTGCTTAAATTTTATGATACCGTCAAGAGGCTTTCGTGAGTCAATTGATCTATAATTTGGAAATTACCATTTACCACTTTCTAATACAACAACTTGATGAATGCATTTCAACACTATAATAAACATATTTTATTGCCTGTTTTTCATTTCTCACAAAATAATGCGTAGTATAAACTCAAACTGGCATTCACATAACATAAAAAATGCACATTAGTGTAAGATAAATGAATTCCATAAATAACTTTAAAATTTGAAACGATTATTATTTCTTCTTAAGTTTTATCTCTTCTTGTTGTATACATGCAAACCATATGATTTCTCAAAACCCATATGGTGCTGTAAAAAACCGGCCAAACCGAAAATAGGCATAAACCCTTGTGTTTTTACTAAACTACATGGCAATTAGCATATGGTTTTGTATGTGTCCAAATAAAACAAAACGAAAACAATGAAAAAGAAGAAGGAAAGGCAATTTATTTTAAATTTAGAAATTATTTATCTTATTTATGTTTACCTTACACTAATGTAAATTGTTTTTATATTAAGTAATTTGCAATTTGCTTTTTACTATGGATTATTTTGTAAGATATGAAAAAAAGCAATAAATTGAGTAGATTAAAATTGAAATATAGTCATGAAATTCTTTTTTTAGAGAATCACAAATAGTAGTTTCCAACTTATGCATAAATTAATTTACAAAAATGTATATATTTATATCAGTTTTCTTTTTGTTCTTTTTTTTTTTTTTTTTTTATAAATGTATTTATTGGACATATAAGCCACAAACCTATTGGCTTAGTCCATCTCTGTTTCGACATACCAAAAAAAAAAATAAAATAAATGTATTTCTTGCGTTTATGTTGGTTTCTTAATTTTTGATTTTAAGCCATATGTTTTTGTTTACATTTTATGGTAAAAAAATTTCGTGGTGCGGCTGCCCATTGTATTTAACACTGGGTATGGACGTATAAGCCACAAGTCTATTGGCTTAGTCCATCTCCATTCAACAAACCAAAAAAAAAAAAAAAAAAACACTGGGTACTTGTTTACCCGAAAACAGAAATGACGCTTCATTGTTTTGGACACCCGAGTGTAAATGATTTTAACTAAACTAAAAACATATTTACAACATTAAAACTATTTCAATAAAATATTACTATAATCTAGTTAAAGAGTGACGTAAAACCATGCATATGTTTCGCAGGCAGAGGAAAGATTAAAAAAAAAAAAAAGGAGTTACACATATTTTTGTTGTTTTAAAATTGAAATGTAATCATCAAAGTGTTTTTTAAAAAGTGACAGTTGCCAAAGTATGAACTAATACACAAGAATGTATCTAATATATATTCATCTACGTATGTCTACTCAAACTACTTTATCAGTAATCAATAAACACACTTGTTTACTTTTATATTCACTTTTTTTTTTAATTTGTTGTTTGTGTTTACGTTTGTTTCTTTATTTTTGGTGCTAAAACTATATGTTTTTGCTTATACTTTCCCGTAAAACTATATGGTAGCACGATTGCTCATTGCGTTACCACTTACCACTGAAGAGTTTTTAACTGGAAGACAAAAAAGACCTCTCTTTTTATTTGTCGTAGCCTGCCGTTATTAATCTTTCATATCAAAAAACTTATTACTATCGTTGCTATCTCTTTGTGTCAAATTTCGTTTTCTGAAGGATAATCATGTAAATGGTTGATACTCACCAATGAAATCTATTCACGTAAGCAAATTTAGAAGTGATTGTCATCAAATGCACTCAATGGGGGATGATCATGTAAGCAGGCAATTATCGCCGTATGGTTTTTTTAAAGAGATAATTGATTATCGCCAATAGGCTAATCCTGGTATCTGTATGTTATCGCTAGCTTTCCAATGCTTTCTAATATTTCTCCTCAAATTTTCCATTTCAATGTATTAATAACTAAGAGAGCCGTAAAAAATGAGACCTGAATTGACGTTTATTTGTTTTTTATAAACAAACTACATATAATAACAAACATGCAAAATGTAATAAATAGAAAATTATGTGAAATTTGACAAACAAAAAAAGCAATAAAGTTAAATACACTGTTTAAATTTGCAGGCGTCTGTGCAAGAGAAATTGATTATGTATAAAATTATATATATTCTCTTTCACAGACTTTCCATAAAAATGAATGTTAACATTTCTGTTATAGTGATTAATTCATATATGCGATGTCTTCTTTATCGCAATATTAAAGTTTCTCTTCCATTTCTGTATACCTAATCTTGTTTTCTTTTATGCTCATATATGAACAAATAAAAAGACAATTCAGCATAAAAAAGTTTCGTTTTCAGTATTTATTTAATTTTTGCGTAAGTCTCGCATTTTTTAGATTGCTATATTTATAAATTTCATGCCAGCAATCGTCTAACTTGTTCACCCAACTGGCTCAATTGCGGTGCTTCCAGACAAACATCAATGCCAAGATCTTCATAGGTCACCTGGGGCGCTAGAGAATTCAGATGAGTTCCTTTCGCGTTGTAGAGGACGGAAACGTTGTGCAGCATCGCTCAAATGTTCGAGATTCTTCTCAGCTTCTTTGGGTTGTAGCGACTTTTTCGCTCTTTATGTGCAACACGCCAACGACCTAGAGAAGTATTCAAAAGCTGTAGTTAGATTTTCGAATTACTAAATAATGTAAATACTGACCTTTATATACACCAATGCATCTTTGTTTTTGAAACTTCTGCATAAATTTACATACAAAGTCATGAAAATGTACATATTGGTTAACATTACATAATTTAGCACGATATTTAAAAAAAAAATTGCAGTTTTACCAAATTGTTTTGTCTTTTTTTCACAATTCACAAATGTAATTTCGGGCACATTCTGTTTTTT